TTTACTGACCGGAATTTCCGTGGTTCGTACCCGATAACTGCATCTCGACTATCCCTGTCTAGGCTTGGCCTGGCAGTATCTCAGCCCTCGTGCCTCGTTCAGGGACATGGCAGGCAGGCACCGGATGGGAGTTACATCTCAACGGCTGTTATCTTTGTGACCTCACTGTGCTAGCACATTGGATGCACATACTGCAACACTGAACGCCATTTGATAATTGCATCGGTGTATTACCTCTTCGCTTGGTTCGCCAAATCTGTCGCATTACTGTGCCTGTTATCTTTCAGACGCAAACGTCGCACATTGCAAATTTCGGGGCCCAAGAAGAGTTCTATAGTGGCTGCGTAGGACTTCGTAAACAATGTAAGCTTCGTTTGTCTATTTTCAGCACTATATGTTTCTTTTTTGTTACAGTTACACTCCGTATTTGCCAAAGTTTTACCATTTTACTATGTAATCTTCGGCAACTTTCATGGTTGACGCATGCCCAATGTATTCACATTAAGTACAATGATTGCACCTCTATCTCAATGCGTGACCATACTTCACCATCGCAATCCACGTACATACTGCAACAAGGCGAACATTTTCCATGCACACTACTGGCTTGTGTTTGACGGTAACATCAGCTGACGGTTAGCATGCCAGATACGCTTTAGGTTCAACTTATTTTATGGTTACTCCCGGTTTCAACTTAAATGCTATGCCATTGTTGACAACGCAATTCCGTTATACCTAAAGCGCAATTCAGCCGTTTCGCTGTAAACATACCGAAGCTGAAACGAAGTGCTCATGTGCCATGAAACCCGGAGAACGAACTACTGCAGCCACCAGATAATGTTGTCTAGGCCCATGGCTGAAAAATTTCATTATTTCATTGGTTGTTTATATCGTTGGTACAACTCAAGGAGTTGCGTTGATCAGTGTGACATTGGTGAGTTTTCGTATGTAGTAGTGAGTGCAAATTTGTGAGGAGCGCAGTCAACGTCTGAATCTTATAGATAGACTCGTAGGGCATTATGGCACAGAAGAGTGTAAGTTCATGGGTTTGTTTATCAGAAATCCAGCAAGGATGGGTGCCGCTGTGTTGGTTATTTGGGAATAACACGCCAAATTTAGCAAATGTGAGAACCTATGGGTCCCATCATATCAGAAGACGGTGATCCTGCTTGTGGGATTCATCATGAGACTAAGCACATAGAACGTCCGTTTATCTAATTAGGCAGTGACACTCGTTACTTGGGCCCGAAAGAGAGCAAGAAATCGGATTCATAATGATTGAGGTTTGGAGCCTGCATTAGATTTGAGTTGGGCATATAAAGCGACGTAAGCCTTATTGTTGTTATTGTTGGTAAATATGACTGTATAATATACCGGGTCGTTCGTTAGATTCAATATACCATAGTTTGATAGTGCTGTTTTAAGCTGTCATTTTCACTCGATTCAACGGTAGTCCAGTTTTCTTGTTTTTCTAAGGATTTAGGCGGAGGAATGTCTGGGATTTTGTTGCACCAAAATTACCGGCCTCCGTGGATGAGTAGGTAAAAATAGCCCTTTTTATTAGTTTTCAGTGGGTACATTTTGAGACCGAAGCAAGAATATTCTAGTAAACCATCATTGCACTCGTGTACGCGCAGCATTGGACTTCACCGGTTGAGGAGATAACAGGAGGTCAGTGCTGAAACTTTTGTACCATAAAATTGCACTAAACCCGGGCGAAACCAGGGTAATTTTCATTTCCGTGGCCCTAGGCAGTACGGACGGTATCAAGCATGTTATACTAGCGAGTCTACAGTTTTGGTGAGCTCAAATGAGATGTTGTGCGTGATTTATATGAGGATTTTGGTGGTGGTTGCACATGCGCTAAAAATAAATCCGGCGTGTTATTACGAACACACTTTCTGGAGTTTGTGGACCAATTGCCGCATCAGAAGTTAGGACGCCCACAATTTGTTGTGCGTTCGAGAACGCAAGTTTAGTCTCTATCTTACGCATCCGGATTAATCCGATTTTGCTGAGTAAGGCACAAGAGGTGCCGGCAAGTAATACAAAACAGCAGGAGGTTACCCGGCTCAGTTGATTATCCTGGAATAGCGATGTAGCGGAGTAGTGAATCTGTATGTTGAGAGACGCTTTTGGATATATTGAGTCAATTGGTGCCTTGGATTCAAGGCCCATCAGCAAACCAGAGATAGCGTACGACATTGTGTTGTGATAATTGGTCATAACTGATTATGGGTCTTGGTCTCTTTGTGGAACAGTGGACAGAAGATAACTTCACAGTTCTCAGTTAGATCAAACCAGAAGTGCGCCGATCCAAACTGTGCATCCAGTTCGAAAATAAACAGACGATTGAGATGAATGTGGGCATAATGCGTTGGTGAGAACGGTGACTTGGATGGGACCCAAAGGCCTCAGTGAAGCGTGGGAAATTCAAACGGGTCTTAAGTGCCATGTATACCTAACCCAATTTGTGGGACATTTTAACGATAACCGACTGCCGATTGAGTCTGTTTACAAACCCCTTGACTGTCTTTAGATAGCCATATGCCGGAGAGTACGGGTACGTCGTCCTTCTATCATTCCTGCGTCATCACAAAACAACGGGGAAGTCTTTAAGTCTTTGGAAACGTTGAAGCGTCGAATGCAATAAGAGCAAGGTGCGGCAGTAGTTAATTATCGGCAGTCTTTTCCAAATACGCGCAACAATGATGCATGGTTTGTAGGCCTTCGTGGCAATTCGGCCATCCAAATTCTTGCAAAGTGCTTCCGAACTTGATCCTTTTGAAATGAACGACAAACTCAAGAGGAAAACCTGCGCGGTTGCAAAATGTTGGTGTGTGCTGTAGATACAAGCCGTCAGACAACAAACATTACGCGTTAAATTAGGGGCCCATCGTAATGACTTGGTCAACATCAACACATTTCTCACCCATTACCATTGAAACAACACTTGCTACATTTTCATGTTTCTTTTGATTATCTGCATTAACACGTATTTGATTTTACCGAAACGCAGTACACACCAAGAGCAAACGTTGAATATAACGCCGAAGAATAAATATGCTGTCTTGGTGCGAGAAACAGCTAAGCCGTATTTGTAGATAGCCGAACGTTTACTTCATTTCCATCTACACGTAATTAGGAACGCCGTATATAAACGATTCGTACTCCTGGGTCACTGTCGAGGGCTTAAGAAATCGGGGGTTTCCCTCCAAAGAACTTGATGATTTACACCTTGACTACCATGGACAAAGGCGTATTTTCACCTATCGGTTGCAGAAGGATGACCTGCAACCAGGACCGAGAGTTAAGTAGAGGGTGGACAAATTTCTACTTTGATAGACGCAGGCAACAGTGGCAGCTAGGTGAAAATTCACAGCCATTACGTCATCCATCCAATTTTCTGTACCAAGTTACAGTGTCTAAGGTCATAGCTGACAAAAAGTTCCAGCCTCGGTTGTAAATCATAAATTTGCGGCCATCACCCCGCGATTAACGCCAAAGCGCTCAGGTATAAGTGATTCAGCACCAAAGCACGTATTGAATGAAGGTCACCTGTTCTTCAACTTAAACGGCTTCTTAAAGGGCGTAAACTATTATTACGTCTTATTACCCAGCTTACCGGTGCACCGCATGGTATCCACTGGTGAATCAAGTCAATAGACGAATAGTGTACCAACTCGGCTCCGTTATAGTAACGTGTATTATGCGTGACTGCACGACTGCACGAAGACTCAATGCCAGTTCGTAATGCTGAACTGACACCCTTTCTTGTCGTGGCACTCCAGCCGATGCCGTCAGCTCTATCGCGGTTAGCATGGCTCTTAGACATCGAACTGAAACAAAATTGACTGAATAGACACATCGTGATGTACTCCGGTGTGGGGTCCTTGAAATATGTTCGCCTAATCAGTTCCCAGAGCCACCAAAACTCCTGGTTGTTCACTATATCCCTTAGACTAGACCGCAGTTTGGATACTGGCGGAGAAAAGCTACCGACCCTTCA